AAAAAAAAAAAAAAAAATCAAAAGGTTAGAAGCCATAATAAATAAAATGAAAAATTCCACTGAAGGGTTAGAAGTCAAGGAAATATCCCAGAAAGTTTAAAAACAGAGACAGAAGAAAAAACTGGAATATCAGAGAATAAATCCAGAAGGTATAATGCCCAATTAACAGAAATCCCAAAACAGAAGAACATAAAACAAAACAAAGAAATTGTAAAAGAAATAATACAAGAAAATTACCAAGAACAGGGCCTAGGAAGTAGCCAAGACAATGAATGCAAAAGCATCACCAAGGATATTAAGCAATTTTAGATCAGCAAGAAAAAGCCTGAAGGCTCTTAGAGAAACACAAAACCTGGACTCTGGATCAGGAATCCAGTGACATTCATTTCTCATCAGCAGCAGTGCCAGCAAGAGACAGGGGCTAAGCCTTCAAAACCCCAGGCCAGTTCTCAACTTGCAACTCCATCCCTCACCAAACTGCCAGTTCCAGGGGTGTGAGCTCAAGGCACTTGCCGATATGCAAACTCAACACTGACTCAACACTGACTCGGGGGCTCACCTTCCCAGCTCGGTGATGTCCCCAAAGGATGCCTTGTCCTAAGGACTGGAGGAAATGGGGCCTGCCAAGGTGCTGGACACAGTTAACCTTCAAGATTGCCCAAGGTGTGTGTGGGTGGGGGCCAGGCATAGGGGGCTCCCTAGCGTGATTCCCTCCCACAGACCAAGTGGACACATGGGTTGGGCCAACCGCTATCCTTCCCTAGTCATGATGTGACCCCAGCTCGGGCCTCTCCACCTTCAGGGTCACCTCCTGCGTCCGTCTTCTCCCCCCGCCCCTCCCGCAGGCCTTCCTGTGTCCCCATGGCTCCAGGGGGAAGTGTGACTGCCCTGGTGAGGCACTGGACATCCCCTATCCGGCAGTGCCCCCTCTTACTTTCCTGAAGCCAGCCCAGCCCCCTTGGGGCACAGCTCTGGGGAGGTCCCTGCCAAGGCCTGGCCCAGTCCTGGGAAAGCAGGAGAAGCCTCTGCCCCAGCAGGTGTGTGTAGTGAGAGCTCTGAGTCCCACCGCTCCAGCCCTGGAAGGAGCCACCTTTTTCTGCCGTGTGACCTCCAACCAGCCTCTCAGCCCCTCCCTTTCCTTTTCTGGGAAGTGGGGGTCAGCAGGGGCCATCTGCTGGGGGAGCAGAGCACCGGATCAACGCCCGCACCCGGGGCCAGGGTCCTCGTGCTGGGGCCCTCTGTGGCTGCCTTCTGTCCCTGGTCACGGGCGGGACCTCGGACATCTGGGGTGGGCAGCGAGTGGAGGCTCGGGCCACCTCCTCATCCACTGCCCTGGGTGACCCCGTCCCACCTTTCCGCGTCAGCCCTGGCTGAGGTCACCGGCCGCTCCCCGGGCAGCCCTGCCTCCGTCACCGTCGGGTGAGAGATGGG